CAGGAGATAACGAGCAATATTTGAAGTTATACACAACATTCTGAAAATATGTTAAAAGTTTATTTTTGGACCCAGAAAGAGTAATAAGAGTAATATTAAAACTAAGTAGCTGCTGCCATTGTTGGAAACTGGAATTGGCTGAGCTGCGCTATGAATTCTGGGATAGGTTGGGCCACGAAAGAAACACCGACTCATCCTTCAAATTTGGACAGCCTTCATCAGATCTCTGTATCGTAATCGGCCCCTGAATTTGGACATAGCTACGATACCGCCGGAGACTCCTTCTTCTTCTTCGGGGTTTAACGGCAGCTGGCATCCTTGTACATGCAGTGCTGCCATCTTCTGTTTCAGTCCGTTATTACACTCTTAAAATCTACCACTGATTCCTGCTTCTTTCGGGATCTTACAAAGCTTCAAACTACACGTTGACTATTAAATTTGTCGTCGAAGATTTTGATAGTCGACATAATCGTGACTAGTCGACTAATCGTGGCAGCCCTACCAAGAGAGAACATTGTCCAAGTTGTCATTAATCCAACATTTTTGTATGAATCAATTTTCAGTTAACTCAAATATTATAAATATTTGATCAATGCAACTCTGTGAGCCCGGTCGCAGTCAGGAGTGGAGGTCCTGGCGGACCACAGCTACCAAGACTGGCAAGTGGGACTTGTAATGTCACCTCTCTGGTGGGGTAGGAGTTTGTGTTAGTGCGTGAAGTAGCACGTGGGGTTAGTTCGTGAGGTGTTTGAGGTAACAGCTAGATATAGACGGGCTCAACTCAACGCACGGCGTGGGCTCTGGAATCCTTCTCCTTGAGAGAAGCTGAACTCTGGAGTTGCCCCTGGTGAGAGGCGAAGGGGTAGGTGGGTATTTTGGTATCCCCTTGAACTGCTGCCTGTATGTTGGGGGTTTTCCCAGTGGAAGAGCGAGTTTGTTCCCTGCGCCTCTGGGCCAGGCAATGGGTCCTGACCCTCATCTGGGCTTATGTGCCAAGTGGCGGTTCAGAGTATCCAGGCTTCTTGGAGTACAGCTGATTGGTACCGACAGGCCAAACGGAGTGCGGCTTGGGCAGTGGGTGAAGAGAGGCTATGGAAAAAGAATTTCCAAAGCCTCGAAGATATTCTGCCAAAGCGTCAGGTGACTCAGGAGGTGAAAGTGGTGTGCTACAGCTGTATGCTGACTTTGACTTTCTGCGGAATTTTTTTGGCCGTGGGAGATATACTTTGAGGACCTCCTTAATCCCACTGTGGAGGAAACAGAGTCTGGGGACGAAGGGGAATGACCCGCCAATCTCCAGGGGGCGAGGTCACTGAGGCTGTTCAACAACTCCATGATGGCAGAGCCCGTGGGGTGGATGACGTCTGCCCCGAGTTCCTGAAGGCTCAGGATGTTATAGGCTGTCTTGGTTGACACTCCTCTACAATGTTGCTTAGAGATTAGGGCCGGAAGCTGTGTTTCCACTATAGGGGGATCACATTTCTCAGCCTCCCTGGAAAGCAGCAGCATTACGCCTGTTAGAGGCAACACAAATGTCTCCATCCAAGCTCATGTTGTGCTTTGTTGTCCTCTCAGTCCCCCAGGTGGAGGTGGATTCAGGGGTGGAGTCTGTGCAGCTGCCCTTCAACACCACACTTCACCTGCCTGAAGACGCTAAAGTGGAGTGGATGGAAAACACAACATGAAGGTCCACGTGTATGAGAACGGCTCTAACCAGCCTGAAGAACAGCACCTGGTTTACAGAGACCGAACGAAGATGAATGAAGACCTGCTGAAAACTGGAGACCTCAGTCTGACCCTGAAACACCCCACAGATGAAAACAACTACACCTACACCTGCACCGTCTACACCAAAGAGCAAACCATACTGCTGAAGAAACAAGTGGAGCTGAAAGTCAGAGGTCAGTGCTGTAGATCCAGGTCAAAGGTCACAGGTCAGAAGTCATTAGTGATAATATAAATTCAGACATTTGTTCTAAAATCCAAAATTTCTGTAGCTTTGTTTTGCTGAGCAACTCTAAATTTAAATTAGCAGACTAAGAAGATGATTAAAATTGATTTTAAATGATAATAAAGTCAAAATAAAATACTCTTGCATGGATCAAGTTAAATTTACTTTGACTAGTTTAATAAAAATAAATATCCAAAATGTGAAATAATTGTCTCGTTTACATGTCAGGGTGCAACAGCCAAACATATTATTGTGAAAATGGCTTTATGGCTGAATGTAAAGTCTTGTAACTCTTATACATACCTAAAAAAACCCACCTCAACTCATAAGACAGCTACTACATTATCTGTGCCAGCTGGTCCAACCTAAAGAATGGAAATGGAAAATATCATAGATATCAAAACACATAACACAATATCAACCTTCCTTTCATATCAAATCCTTGAAAGAGTAGTTGTCAAACAGCTAACAGATCATCTGCAGAGGAATGGTTTATTTGAAGAGTTTCAGTCAGGTTTCAGAGCCTCCACCCCTGAATCCACCTCCACCTGGGGGACTGAGAGGACAACAAAGCACAACATGAGCTCGGATGGAGACATTTGTGTTGCCTCTAACAGGCGTAATGCTGCTGCTTTCCAGGGAGGCTGAGAAATGTGATCCCCCTATAGTGGAAACACAGCTTCCGGCCCTAATCTCTAAGCAACATTGTAGAGGAGTGTCAACCAAGACAGCCCTATAACATCCTGAGCCTTCAGGAAGTCGGGGCAGACGTCATCCACCCCACGGGCTCTGCCATCATGGAGTTGTTGAACAGCCTCAGTGACCTCGCCCCTGGAGATTGGCGGGTCATTCCCCTTCGTCCCCAGACTCTGTTTCCTCCACAGTGGGATTAAGGAGGTCCTCAAAGTATTCCTCCCACGGCCAAAAAAATTCCGCAGAAAGTCAAAGTCAGCATACAGAGTGCCACACCACTTTCACCTCCTGAGTCACCTGACGCTTTGGCAGAATATCTTCGAGGCTTTGGAAATTCTTTTTCCATAGCCTCTCTTCACCCACTGCCCAAGCCGCACTCCGTTTGGCCTGTCGGTACCAATCAGCTGTACTCCAAGAAGCCTGGATACTCTGAACCGCCACTTGGCACATAAGCCCAGATGAGGGTCAGGACCCATTGCCTGGCCCAGAGGCGCAGGGAACAAACTCGCTCTTCCACTAGGAAAACCCCCAACATACAGGCAGCAGTTCAAGGGGATACCAAAATACCCACCTACCCCTTCGCCTCTCACCAGGGGCAACTCCAGAGTTCAGCTTCTCTCAAGGAGAAGGATTCCAGAGCCCACGCCGTGCGTGGAGTTGAGCCCGTCTATATCTAGCTGTTACCTCAAACACCTCACGAACTAACCCCACGTGCTACTTCACGCACTAACACAAACTCCTACCCCACCAGAGAGGTGACATTACAAGTCCCAATTGCCAGTCTTGGTAGCTGTGGTCCGCCAGGACCTCCACTCCTGACTGCGACCGGGCTCACAGAGTTGCATTGATCAAATATTTATAATATTTGAGTTAACTGAAAATTGATTCATACAAAAATGTTGGATTAATGACAACTTGGACAATGTTCTCTCTTGGTAGGGCTGCCACGATTAGTCGACTAGTCACGATTATGTCGACTATCAAAATCTTCGACGACAAATTTAATAGTCAACGTGTAGTTTGAAGCTTTGTAAGATCCCGAAAGAAGCAGGAATCAGTGGTAGATTTTAAGAGTGTAATAACGGACTGAAACAGAAGATGGCAGCACTGCATGTACAAGGATGCCAGCTGCCGTTAAACCCCGAAGAAGAAGAAGGAGTCTCCGGCGGTATCGTAGCTATGTCCAAATTCAGGGGCCGATTACGATACAGAGATGTGATGAAGGCTGTCCAAATTTGAAGGATGAGTCGGTGTTTCTTTCGTGGCCCAACCTATCCCAGAATTCATAGCGCGGCTCAGCCAATTCCAGTTTCCAACAATGGCAGCAGCTACTTAGTTTTAATATTACTCTTATTACTCTTTCTGGGTCCAAAAATAAACTTTTAACATATTTTCAGAATGTAGCTGTGTAAACTTCAAATATCTGCTCGGTTTATCAAGACACTTAATATTTGCAAAAGTGCTCCAATGTTTTCGGAGACGTCTGTTACCCAC